TATATATATATATATATATATATATATATATATATATATATATATATATATAATCAAACTTTATATATAATTAGCACTAGAATCAATATAATAAATATCTTTTATTTTACATAATTTTACTAAGACCTTCTCTTTTAGGATTTTTTTTATAAAGAAACCAAACTATGAACTGTCTAAAACAAATCTAAAAAACTCGAACAAATCAAATGAAAAATAACAAATCAATCAGACCTATGTATCTGGAATGGTCATAATGTTATTGTTCCACTTTGTGCAATTGCATGTAGAAAAATAGGGGTTTTAAGGAGGTTTTTGGTCAATAATGCAAATGAGTATATTATGACTAATATGAGCAAATTACAAAAATATTCAACAATTATATCAAAGTATGTAACAACACAATGTTTGTTTGATGAATATAAATATTTTATGACAACATATGTAGGAGATAAATTGATATGTACAAAACAATTCTTATAATACATCTCATGATTATAAATCAATACTTTCACATTTTTTTATGATTTTGAATCAATTACAAAGTTTTAAATAATAAAATATTGATATATAAGAATTATTAATATATATATATATATAAAGAACAATCAATAATGATAAGGTGAATTCATATATCAAAGTAATTATTGATTATTATTAATTTCATATATATAAACGTGATCATCGACTCATTTAGCTAACTTAAATAATTTAAAAAAAATTATAGTCATCGCGCAACGCGCAATGTCAGTTTGAAATAAATTCAAATATTGATTCACAACCTTTCAATTTTCCATCAAATATATTTAAATATTAAAATCAATTTCCATTCAAATATCATTTTTTTCAACAATACATGTGAAAGGCATATAAAGGGTGCGAGTGATAGTTTTTAGTATGCAGATTATTCCTTTCACATTATCATTTTGGGAAGATGCACAAAGACAAAAGAACTGAAAGACCATGACACGAGATTGAGAAAACGAGTGAAAGGAGCATTGTCAATTGAGTGATAATGTTGTTGGTTGTTTCCACGATTGTTGTACCGCGACGGCGCGACCATTGTTCTGATTATTCCCCCCTTGCCACAAATGTACCATGAGATGAGTTAGAAGTATTGTAAGAGGGAAAAGGGGGCTATAGAGGAGAGATTACACCACCATGGTTGTGTTCTCGAAGGACCGGGCACGGTTAGACGACTCCTGTAAGAGCAGGTCCTATCTACTTCAAAGGGGGGGGGGGGGGGGTGGTATGGAGTGACCGATGATGTTGTTGGGGATTTCATATATTGTTAATTCTAGGGTTCTATTTTAGGCTAATAAAGAGAAGGAGATTTCTACTACTTATTGCTTTCAAGGCGAGTGATCTCTATCCATAAAGCAATTTCGCCCCCACCATATGTGCTTTGGGATTTTGGCGAATCGCTTCTCAAGATACAATGAAGTAACGTATGTAAAACGACTATCAACACCGCACTAGTGGTGATAATCCCGGTTGAACTATTGAGTTTCAAGAAACTAAGAAATTGTGTTTAATGGCCAACCGTCGCGTCTGTTCGTTTCAACTGTTAGCAACGAATCTACAACGGTTTGAATCAAAAGGAATAAGGCGGCTCGCGGTGATGCGTGTGCGCAAAGTGCGCCATCAAAGCGCCCACGCCCACAGTCGCGCACGTAAGGGTGCATTGTGGAAGCCCCATCATTTCCAATATATTAAATTAATATATAAAAAATGTTTCCCCTTATATACCCACTTGGATTTCACTCTTGCTCCTATGTGGGACAAGGAGAAACCCACCAAAATGATCTTTTCTCTTTTCCTAAAACCTAACCCAAAAGATTTTATTTTATTTTGAAAATATTCCCAACATATATAGAGTATGAGAGAGTGAGTGTTAACCTTGGACAAAAGTGGGATCACGTTAGAGGTTAAGTTATATGCCAACTCAAATGTGTTTGTGTATAACGAAATTAACTCGAGGATAATATCAAATTTTCAGTATCCATTTTGGTAATCATAATTGTTTCTATATTAAATTCTGACATAACTCCCAGTTATATGGAAATGGTTACTTGAATTAAGTAGTGACCAGTTAAGAAAATAGAGCAGTTACATTTTTTTGGAAAACACCCATCTACTGATGCCCATAACTGATGTACATCAACTAATAATACATAGCAAAACTATCAGTGCTACCTAGTCGGTGAAAGACCACCATCATTTGATGATACATAAGTGGGTAGCTGTTAACCCAGTATGCAACATTTATCAATGTTTGCAAACATTGATAAATATCCTCTCTTCACCACCTGACACTAAAATCCTTAGAGCTTGCTCTCTTAAATTTCGTTTTTGTTTCAGGGTGTTGTGCGATCCCGGGTTCTAGTTATCTTACACGAATTTGCATTCGACATCTCCTGATGCTTGTTATAGCCTAACAAACAACCCCATATTACCCTATGTATCTAGTTATACAAAAATAGACCGATGCCTTCACTCTCAGCGTTGAAACCTAAAATCACAAACATTCATCACATATGTAATCAAATTCACAAATCTCCTCGTTGATTAAACAAAACAGTAGCTGCTGATCACTAACGTTTAGATCAACATTGGAAAGCTGATTTGAGAGCATATTTAGATGTTGAGAATAAGTGAAAATTTTCCATGGTTGTGTGGTTTAATTACCATACAGACAATCTTACTCTCAAGTTGTGAGTGATGTGCCTTTGATCCAATACAAGACAGTAGGTCCCAAATAGTCTTTGTGCCATGAGCACATGTAGCAATTTATAAGTGATGCCAAAGATCAATAACTTCCTCACTGTATGTATGGGATATAAGGAGAGAGGAGCAGCAAAAGGCGTAGAAGAGAGAGGGAACACCACGGCCCAACTTGAGGGCAGTTGAGATATGCATTGTTAGGATGCCAATCTGTATGTATATATTACACTTATCTTTTGTAGAATGTTTGTAAATGTAGGATGTATATATATATATATATATATATATATATATATATATATATATATATAAGGATGAAATAAATTCATTCTCTTCTGTTAAATCAAAGCCAAGAATCACAAGCATGGAAGTCGTTAATCAACCCTCTCCACTATGTTGAAACCATAAGCGTGCAATATTTCCAGTGCTGCAAAACCACAAGTAGAAAGTAAGCTACTGGTTAACAAGATCCAATATATCCATGCAAACAGGATCACAACAAAACTTTCGAGCTTCAGAAAATTAACTGAAAGATCACAAGTAAAAACCAGAAAAATGATCAAGCAAGCTGTCAAGATTCCGTGGACTTGACAAACTGTATAAATTATATTATACTTTACATGGCAAACCTATTGTTTTTATTGTTTTATTTTTCAATTGTTCCATAGCATCTCAAACGATGTACTATGCTTATAGTACTTATTTATAACCCAAAGCAGAACTGTAACCACAAAAAATTACCAGGCTCATAAACTTCTGGATCGATAGGTCGTAAGACACCAGTACGTGTAATCTTTTTTGCAAGTAGAAGCTGTAGAAATCAAAAATATCTCTAGTTACACCAAACACATGTAAGAGATTAAAATAGTCAAAGCAGGTTGTTACCAGAGCTCCAATTGCTACAGGAATCCCAACAGTGAGGGCCATGCCACTGATTGCTTTCCCGTTCCTGGTCCTCCCAAATTCCAATAAGGTAGACTGATGGTTTTCAGTAGGGCGACCATTTGGGAAATCTACCACTACTTCATGATGCAAAAGAACCATGTCCTGACATAAGTTCAGTTTGCTTTATTAACTACAAACCAACCTTCAGGATATATATTATTAATAACATTTCATGTGATAAATGATTTTCAAAGAGAGTCTACTACCAGTCAATTTCTCCTACTACTACTTTTCCTCGATGTGATTTAGATAATTATGTGACTTGGAATAAATTAGCTGGATTTATTTTATTTCCTAGTTTTAACTTTAAGGATAGGTTTCCTTTCAGTAAGGAACCTAGTTGTGGATTTATATGGTACCTTGTACAAGTTTTTTAATTCAAGAGCGATCATACTTCGTTTCTCGAAGTTACACTCAAATCATCATCATATTTGGTAATCAACTAGCCTGGATTGTTTATCAAGTAGAATGGAGTAGTCCCCAAATCTTATACATTCAATGTATTATGTGAACATATCATATAAAGTTTTCCTGATACCATATTATGTCATTGTAAGTTACAGCTCAAAAGAAGTTTCTGTTGGATGAACTAGCCCACAAACTATATGTTGATTTGCTTAGTTTACAAAACACACGCCAGATGGCAGATAGTCACAAAAAGGATTATATGGGGGGTTGGCATATGTCATCATTTGCAAGGACGTTTCGACCATATTCGAGAAAATTCATGTGAAGTTGAGTTTCACTCAAATAGGAACTTATGTCCTCTGGCATTCTATTATATTATATATGGAGGAGAGTATCCGATATATACTCACACTGGAGTCTTTTAACCTTGCTAGTAAGCATCATACTTACCTTTGAATTTGATAAATTACCTGTTCAGTGCTAGTGTAGGCTAATCTTTCTTCCATGCGGAGGCAAGTCACATCAAATGCACTTTGGCATGATGAAGGTACCTCTGTTGGCTCGTTAAATCCCAAAAATCTAATGCAATAAGAAATTGACCAAAGTTAATAGTTATGAAAGCTTATTAATATAGTATTGCAACCGTACCGACTGTACTTACAAAATTGCTTTAGCTGTCCTGGTTGCAGCTCCATCCTCTTTGCAGATTCCAAGTGCTAGTAGCCTATCTGTGATAAGCTTCTCTGCCTTCACCGGTTCATCAGAGGTCCTGCTTTGAATCTTTAAAAGTTCATATAGAAATGTTCTATATGTAGGCCTATCTTTATTTCTGAGGATCAAACGAACTTCACTATCAAAGAAACCAATTCTTGCCAGTGAACCCATTATTTCACCAAACCCTGGACATAGCAATTTCAACAACATTGCATAAAAATAACAACATTGGTAGTCAATCCAAGATTCAAAGCCGCAAGAAACAACACCCCAAGAACCAAACTCCTGTTCCCAAACAAAAATCCCAGGGAGCTTTATAGATTGGATGCTATGTTTATTCAGTAATCCATTCCAATATATGCAATGGAGATGACAAGCCCATATATTGTCAAAGAATTCCATAAATCAGACATGTGTTTTGTTCTCTTTTGAAGTCCATCTCGGTCTATGAAGCAATGACAAACCTTAATTATTCTTCAATTTCAGAGACCTCAACAACAAATACTAAAACTCTTACTTAAAAGTGCAAAATAATCAGCTCCTATCCACCACCAAATCAATCATAAGTATCCATTTGTAAAGAGGAAGAAAGGGGCATCCAAAAGAGGTTGAGAAATCATCAAAACTTTGGCTTTGCGGAAGCCAACAGGCATACCAAATGTAGCAATGTGGCATAAACAGAGACCCAAAAACACATAATACCTTCATAACGAAGAGTGCCACGAAAGATGGTCGATGCTTCATTTATTATACCATAGATATCTGCATAAATTAAGGAGTTGCGATTGGGTAGGACCTCCAGTGCAAAAGCCGGAAAATCATGTATCCGAAATTTTGTGGCTGAAGCATATATATTATCCCCTGAAAGTTTACCCCAATTAAACGTCATAACAAGAATAAATAAATAACATCATATATGTCAAGTTATGCACAATTTACTCTTCCACATATGGGCTATGCTGAATAAATGTTAGCACCTCATAACAACTAAGATGAATCCCTTCCTACATGATGCAACAAATATGCATATCAAATGAGAACCGTAATTAATCATTGTTACCAAGTTCTAAAAATAGAAGTTATATTAATTTTGTAATACCACAGGCTGAATAATACTCATAGAAGCACCATCTAACCTATAAAATACAGGGTTTGCTATCTAGACCTACGTGGGTTTGTGTGTAAGACAGTGCTTTCCTTTATCTGGATGACAAAAATCATCTTCACATCAATGTATATGCCTTAAATTTGTTAGTTACACGTTCTTTTACACAAAAAGTTGAAGTCTTTACACTATCTTCAAGATAATCTATTGTGATGCAAATTAATTGACTACACAATCTCAATTCAACCCCAAATAATTGAACACTTTAAAGTTCTAAGCAGAAAAATTAACAGCAAAGAACCAAATAATTGAACACTTTAAAGTTCGTAATGCGGAAAGATAAACCAGATTCCCAATGCAAACTATGAAGCAAACAATAAAGCATTAAACTTTATGCTAGATAAAGTAAAGAAATAGAAAACGATACTGGACACCCAAATCGGGCGGAAATCACATGCGGGAGAGACCACTGAAAGAAGTCCACTGATTTTATACATCTTGTTCTTATCTAGGTTTGGGAGTATTTTTGTCTATTAAAGTTGGAGAGACCTACCAAGGGCCAGAAACTACATTAAAACCGTCAGACCCGTCTATGCAACTTAGCCATCAGACCTGGGGTCTCATGGCATGGTCACTGGTGCCCAGATAACTCCCAACATGATCTGCCATGCTCATTGCCACCATTGTATTCTTCCATCGCATTATTTGTACCGAAAGGTCTCAGACCTTCTACGACATCCACACAAGTGATCCTAGGTCGCATGACCTAGGTCACGTACACCCTTCATTCTCCAGGTACAAGTCTTCGAAGCAGGTACTTTGGAGGCATAGTTTACATGTTGCATTTCTTACCTGACTATATCTCTCTCCATCCATGGATTACGTCTACCTCGGCAATGGGAGAGCGTACAGGCCAGAAAATTGAGTTGTCATTTAAGCATGACATGTTATCTACAAAGTAGAGATGGCCTTTTAACATTATGATAACTCTCAGATGTTGGTAATTCTCATGTTTGTTTTCTAGCCATATAATGGGAACACACGTGGAAAGGTAATAAGTAGAAATCTTTACAATTTTAGAAGCAAAAAGTGTGATCAAGTTTAAAATGGAACCAAATAAAAACTGTTAAGATGCTCAATATCCTGAAGATACTCGATATCATTGTAAAATAGAAATTGGAGATTACGGGTAATATCTCCTTGTAATTTGTTGTTGTGAATATCTTATGAATCCTTTTCTTTTCTTCTCATATTCTTTGTGTATATATAGCCTTTGTACCCCCTCTTTTGAGACAAGTGAAATAAACAAAGAATTCTACATTGTATCAGAGCTCGGTTTCGTAACAATTACTAGTTTCACGGATCGAAATTTTTTGGTATGTTTTTTTTCCTTGGATCGAAATTTTTTGTTCATCGTTTTTTTTTCTTGATCGACAAGTTTCCTTGGGTTGGAAGTTTTTTGCTCGTCGGTTTCTTTGGCACCATGTGAGTGCGATTATCCTCATCTCTGTTCATCGGCTATTTGGCACCCTGTGAGTGCGTCATTTGCTTTCTGGTGTGCTATCCTTCATCCTAAGTTCTACGTTCTCTCTTCTGGTTCGTGATTTATTGGAAGATGACTGGAGAAGACAAAACATCTTACAATAACAGTAGTTTATGTGTACGAAGCAGTAAATGTTAAGCTCACTAACAACAAGCTTAATGGCTCCAACTACTTTCAGTGGAGCAAAAATTATTCATATCTACCTCTGAAGCATGGGAATGGCTTCTCATCTCACATCGGATCCTCCTAAAGGTAACGGTTTTGATTCATAGTTCCAAAGTGATGCTCGTTTGTACTTGCAAATTATCAATACTATTGAGCCTTCTGTTTCGTCTCTGGTTAGTCACGGTGAATATGTGAAGAAACTTATGAATTATCTTGATTTTTTGTATTCAGGACAAAGTAACATCTCTCAGATCTATATTGTTTGTAAGTCCTTTCCTTGTGGAGAACAAGAAGACCGATCACTAACTACGTATCTCATGGAGTTCAAGAAAGTGTATGAGGAGCTTAACTCTCTTCTTCCATTAAGTGTTGATGTCAAAGCCATGCACACTCATAGGGAACAAGTGATTGTTACAATTTCTTGACTGGTTTGCGACCAGAATTTGACTATCAGATCTCAGTTCTTGAATGAATCTGCTATTCCTTCTCTTCAAGAAACATTTGCCCGTGTTCATAGGAATGAGAATCTTCAGGCTTCTCAAACTTTTGATCACAACAGTGCTCTGGTTGGTCGAAGGGGATTTCGTGGTGGCTACCGAGGAGGATTTCGTGGGGTCACCGTGGTGGCTCTAGAGGTGGCCACAGTGACCGAACAACTGACTCACAGGCTACTATTCCAGATTCTGATGATGTTGAGTGTTGTTACTGCCATGAGTAAGGTCACACCAAGCACACATGTAAGAAGCTTTTGGCCGGATATCTGAGGAGTTCATCAGCGCACGTTGCCTCTGCCTCAGATAGTAATGTTACTATACCTGCAAAAGAATATGCTCGACTTTAGGCACTGCTCCGACTGTTACATTTGCTGAGACAGGTAATTCTAGTACATGCTTATTATCTTCTGCCTCCAAATGGGTCATTGATTCAGGTGCTTCAGATCACATGACGGGTAATCCCACCATCTTCTCTAATTTCAATAAACACAAATCCCCATCACATGTCACAATTGCTGACAGTTCTACCACACCTGTCCTTGGTTTTGGCACCATTGATCTTACCCCATCTGTTTCGTTATCTTTCATATTGAGCCTACCTAATTTCTCATTCAATTTGTTATCAGTCAGCAAAATTACGCGTGTTTTAAATTGTTGTCTCATTCTTTCCTGATTTCTGTGTCTTTCAAGATCTATCAACGAAGAGGATTATTAGTAGAGGGCGGGAGACTAATGGCCTATACATATTTGAACATCAAGTACCTTTCTCATTGACTTGTTCTAGCTCATTGTCTCCACTTGAAGTTCATTGTCGATTAGGTCATCCATCTTTACAGAATCTGAAGAAGTTGTCCTGAGTTTTCTTATTTACCTTTTCTACAGTGTGAGTCTTGTCAGTTTGCCAAATATCAACGTATTCATTTAAGTCCTAGAGTCTGCAATAAGCGGGCCTCATCCCCATTTGAGTTAGTCCATTCTGATATTTGGGGACCATGTCCTGTTACTTCAAACTTGGGTTTAAGTATTTTGTTACCTCTGTTGATGATTACTCTCACACTACTTGGCTTTACTTTATGAAAAATCGATCTGAGGTATTCACACATTTTTGTTCACTCTATGGCGAGATTAAAACCCAGTTTAAAGTCTCCATTTAAGTTCTTCGAAGTGATAATGCAAAAGAATATTTGTCCCAAACATTTCAGTCATATATGATTCAAAATGGCATTCTTCCGAGTCTTCCTGTGTTGGCACACCAGCCCAAAATGGGGTTGCAGAACGAAAGAATCATCGTCATCTCTTAGAGGTAGCTCGGGCTCTATTATTTCACATGACTGTTCCTAAAGTCTTCTGGGCTGATGCGGTTGGTACTGTTTGTTTTCTTATCAACCGAATGCCTTTCACTATCTTGGATGGTAAAAATCCTTTCTCAGTTCTGTTTCCTACAAAAATCATTGTTTCCTATCGACCCAAAGATCTTTGGTAGTTCCTGTTTTGTCCGCGATACCCGACCTCACATAACTAAGTTGGATCCAAAGTCTTTGAAATGTGTCTTTCTTGGTTACTCTCGACTTCAAAAAGGGTACAAGTGTTTTCCCCCATGCTTAATCGATACATTGTATCACGAGACGTTACATTCCATGATAATATACCCTTCTTTCCTATGTCCACTCCTTGCAAACCAAGAGATAGTGATGATTTGTTGGTGTATACCATACTTGTTCATGAGTCTACTACCCTATCCAACACGACACAGACCCAAGAGCCTACTAAACCACCGATAGTTCATGTATATAATAGGCGGCAATGACCTACATCAGATCCCAACCCAACACCATCTTCATCATCGTCTGCAGATCCGCCTAATGATGATCCTCTTGCTTCGAGTGATCCACCACCTTCCGATACACAAGTCCTGATCTTGATGTTCCCATTGCTCTTTGGAAAGGTAAGCGCTCATGTACTTACCCTATTTCTTCTGTTGTTTCCTATGATAAACTTTCTTCACATTCTCGTTCTTTGATCTCTACACTTGATTCTTTATTTGTTCCTAAAACGGTTGGTGAAGCTTTGGCCCATACTGGATGGCGGGATGCTATGATTTATGAGATGAATGCTCTCGATCATAATGATACATGGGATTTGGTAGACTTACCTGTAGGCAAAAAGGCAATTGGCTGTAAATGGGTATTGACTGGTGGATCTGTGGCTTGTCTGAAAGCCCAATTGGTAGCCAAAGGATATGCTCAGACTTATGGGGTCGACTACCACGAGACATTTTCTCCTGTTTGTTTCATTAGCCGCTACTTACGATTGGGTACTACACCAACTGGATGTGAAAAATGACTTCTTGCATGGTGATCTACATGAGGAAGTCTATATGAAGCAATCACTTGGGTTTGTTGCTCAGGGGGAGTCTGGTAGAGTCTGTAAATTGCGTAAATCATTGTATGGTTTAAAGCAATCCCTCGTGCTTGGTTTGGACGGTTTAATGCTGTAGTGACTGAGTTTGGCTTACGGAGGAGCTCTTATGATCATTTTGTATTCTTTACTTCGTCATCTTCCAGATGTATTCTACTAGTGGTATATGTTGATGACATTGTGATTACTGAGAGTGATGAGATTGGGATCAAGAAGCTAAAAGATTTCCTTGCATCTCGGTTTCAATCAAAGGACCTAGGTCCTTTAAAATACTTCCTGGGAATTGAAGTATCTCGTACTCGGAAAGGGATATGTTTGTCTCAACGGAAATATTGTTTGAATATATTGAATGACGCTGGTATTATTGAAACGAAACCTTGTGAGGCCCCAATGATTCCAAATATGAAATTGAAAGTGGACGATGGAGATTACTTGAGGATCCAGAAAAGTACAGAAGAATTGTGGGAAAGCTAAACTACTTGACGATTACACGTCCTAACATCGTTTTTTTCCAGTGTGTAGTAAGTCAGTTTATGTCATCTCCGAGAACACATTGGGACGTTGTTAGGCATATACTGAAGTACCTAAAGGGTGCTCTGGTCTTGGTATCCTTTATCAAGATCACGGTCATCATGTCATAGAAGGGTTCACAGATGCCGACTATAATGGGGATCCTACTACTAGGCGGTCTACGACAGGCTATTGTGTGTTGGTTGGAGGGAATCTAGTGGAAAAGCAAGAGACGGAATGTCATTTCCCGATCAAGTGTTGAATCTGAATACAGGGCTATGGCCCAAACCACTTGCGAGCTGATATGGTTGCATAATCTGCTAGGTGAAATTGGGTTTGCTCAATCTAAACTAATGAACCTATATTGTGATAATGAGGCGGCTATCCACATTGCAAACAATCTTGTGTTTCATGAAAGAACTAACCACATCGAGGTTGACTGCCATTTCACTCGTGAAAAGCTAGAAGATGGAATCATCTCAACTCCCTTTGTTCGAACAGGAAGACAACTTGCTGATGTCTTTACCAAATCATTACCTAATTAGAGAATCTCTTTTATTTGTAACAAGTTGGGCATGATTAACATTTATGCTCGAGCTTGAGGGGGAGTGTTAAGATACTCAATATCATTGTAAAATAGGAATTGGAGATTATGGGTAATATCTCCTTGTAATTTGCTGCTGCGAATACCTTAGGAATCCTTTCCTTTTCTTCTCATATTCTTTGTGTATATATAGCCTTTGTACCTCCCTCTTTTGAGACAAGTGACATAAACAAAGAATTCTACAAAACCACAAAGTGAAAAAAAGAATAACCTACTCCTGATCATTTCCTCCATCTACCATAAAAGTATCATTACGGGATAGCAAACAAGCAACTTTTGAAGAAGCATAGGTTGCCTTTCCCACTCGTCATTTTCTTCATTAATTATTCCCTAGCCTATGGCATGGAGAGCTAAGTAATACGATTCCATTTGCAGGTAACTCTCTGCTCCAATAGAACTACAAGTTCAACTTTTCAATTTCGATTTCAACTAGCAGAATTATGGTTTCCTTCTCCAAAACTGTTTACCATAAACATGTTGCAATCATCTTATAATGGAATTTGCAAGGTATTTTCCAAGAGGCTACAACCAACAAAATATAGTTTATCCGTCTACGTCATACAAGTGAATAATTGTGCTTTCAAATATATATATATATATATATAGAGAGAGAGAGAGAGAGAGAGGGAGGTCTAGGGGAAAACCCTAAAAAGATGAAAACTGAGGAACACCCTGGTAATCATTCATTTGGACCATATACACATGTGCATGCAAGTAAGTTTTTTTTTGGTTTTATGCATGTGTGCATATTAAGCACATGTTCATACCGGACAAATTGCTTCCAAATTACTTGTATGCATATGTGCATACAAGTACAAATGAACAGTTACTAGGGTGTTCCTCAGTTTTTTATTTTGTTGTGGTTTTCCCCAAACCCGGCCCTATATATATATATATATATATATATATATATATATATATATATATCAAGTCTTAAAGTATCATCCAATGTTAGTCACATGAGTAATAACGGGTTCAAAACCATTGTGTGAATGCATGTGCACTATAATTACCATACAACAGTGTACAAGCCATGCAGGTTCAAGTATATAATGACATTTCTAATTTGCACACTTTGTACATTTTACTAATTTTATTGGGGAAGGGGATGGTGAAAATATGAGCCAGCACAACCCCAGAAGTGCACATGTGAGGGTGCTATCAGAGACTTGCTTTCAACATATTATGAATAATATAAAGTCAAATGCGTCTAGAGTTCAATAATTTACCATCAACATGTACAATTCCTCCTGCTTGTTTGTAAGTGGCAGGATTGCGCCCAGATCGTATAGCGCCTGCTGGATTCCAGCTGAAAGGATTTTGTAACAATTTATATTTTCATAGAAAAACAGCATGACTCATCTTTAATGTAAAACATAAATACTAATGCCTCCAGCTATGTTGGCATTAGAGCACATTGAATATAGTAGTGAACCAAACAACATAATGTAAACCTCATTGATTGGTTCATAAGTTCCAATAATGACATGGTCCTCATCAAAATGAATTGTTGTGTGAACTCCACTAAGGTATAAACATTTGCAGGAAATGTTTGAAAAAAAAGAGGTAGTGATAAAATGCTACAACAATTCCATGAAATGATCCACATTTTTAGCAATTTCAACTCTGTCAACTTAAACCAAATAAAAACTCTTCCAAATTTATAAAAACACTTGGGTTTGAACATAACTCATATTCCTATGCCATTGTTGGTTTAAACTCAGGAACTGAAGTATTGGTTTACAATGCTGAACTAAGGACCCATATGTCTATATGGTTAAAAAGTTTTTCCAAACTTTTATTGCATTATTCAAGTCAATGTTGCTAATGTTAAATCCAAGCCTGGACTTTAACTCAACTTCAAACACATGTTAGTAGCTAACTTAGCTCAGTTGCAGCAACAAGTGACAGCAAGGTTCTACTGTCTGCTTGCTTCAAAACATGTCTATTGAACAACCCAAAAATAGTAAGATAGAAGTACTGAAGCAAGCAAATACTGTGAAGCTCGAAATTAAATGCAAGAATTTTATCTTGGGATGCCAGGGAATTGGTTGCTGAGTTCTAGATATCTGCTTAGAGTTTGGTTGGATCATTGGAGCTATGATACTGAAGTGTTAGGGATGTGAATAAACTACAACAATGCTACATGAAGTAAACTAAAAGATGCACAGGATATATATGCAGATGGTGACAGAAGTTGCATGCAGATGATGGTGGTGCTAATAAGCTATTCAAGGAAGAAAAAAAGAAAAAGAAACTGTGACTAGCTTATTAGCACCACAACCATCTGGGAGCAACTCCTATCACCATCTGCCTTATACTCTGCCCATCTCCACCACCTTCTGTCAAATTCTCCCCTATCTTTTCTTCATCCTCATAGCCCATCGATACAGATCAGTTCTGTACATATCACAGACACAAATGATTTTTGTTTGAGTTCCAACTCTACTTTCTAAGAAGCGACATCAGCAATGGCCTCCATTTGTACACAACAGGCATCCAAACGGCTTTTCATTTATTTATTTTCTTGGTGTGGTTTTTCTGTAGCAGAATCCCTTTATGCTAGTGCAGGGTACTTGTCTCGGATACTTTGGTGACTGATTAGCTTCTTGGAGATTGTCTCCCTTTTATCGTGGTTGGAAGATTCTCAAGACTTCCAGATGTCATGATCAAGGGCCTGATTTCAGTTAGCTCAACTATAGGATTCATGATTAACATGTACATGTAGCTCAATTTACATGAAGGCTTACCTTTATTTTGCTCTCCAAACATCAATAATGAATCAAAGATAGGTCCAAATCCTGGGACCTATAAGCATGCCATCTACAAGTCTCTAGAATTGTTGGTCAATCCTTTTATTGGTCAACTATTCATTCATCACTTAGATTCCAGTACATATATGGATGTTAAATCAAAGAGTACTGCTAATATATTTGGCATGAATATACGAAGAGCTGTTGGCAAAAAATGATTTCCCTACTCCTGAATATGTGAGACGATTCTTGGGTGTGCTCAACACATATGCTCCAAATAAAGGAGGGCCATTAGATATAGTATATTATAATCACAGGGTTGGGTTCAAGGAAAAACCATTTAAAAGAATGGCAAACTGAGGAGCACCCTAATAACCATTCATTTGTCCGGTATGCACACGTGCATAGAAATCAGTAAACATTTTCAATTACTTTTATGCACATGTACATACCGGATAAATGAATGGTTATTAGGGTGTTCCTCAGTTTTGCACTGTTTTGTGGTTTTCCCCTAAACCCGAGTCTATAATCATATTAATTGTAATTATTATTTAAAGTTATCATGGCAATGGTCCACAATAATACTTGATCATCGGTGGTTCATCTAAAAAAAAGAAAACCTTTTGGTTAGAAATAAGAAAAGACACAGGGTATACAAAAAGAAAATGGAAATAAATCACTTAGCATCTGTACACTTATTTCAATGGTTAATATTGGCTTCATAATGCAGCATGTTAAAGTACAAATTCTACAAGGTACCTGAACTTATAAGCTAATGGGTTATTTGCTGCTGACGGAGAAGGAATACCCCCACAGTTGGATACAAAAGACTTGATTTTCCCACCTCGGGCATGCGCTTGGTTGATCATCTTCATTGCCATCATATGATCTGAAGCATAAAAGTCAATATCTAACTATTTAACTTACAAATTCATAAGCATGTATTGCTAATGCTTCCCGTCCTTACAAACCTGTGGTCTAAATATCATAATAGAGTGCAAGTGAATAATAGACGAAACTGGCAAGATGACTCCATCACCCATATAAGCAAAAGTAAGGTAGGAAATTATATTGAGACCTACTATTGACATATAAGGGGTTGAGTTTCAGAATCACAACTATTGTGGAAAAGAATTTGACACCAGGTACAACTCTATATGATATAGAGTCATGCTACATCATATTTTAGGCATGACATGCAAGAATGTTCATCTCTGAGATACAAACTATCAACTATTAGGTCCACGATATTGTTAATTGAGCACAAATTTGTGTTGAAAATGGTTGCTACACAAATCAGGAACAGAGGAAATTCTTCTACGTGACCTAGAGTTGTGTAGGCTTGATCGCGTCTGGCCATGAACCTTTCCTACCATTTTAGCTAGAGTGGCACTTTGGCCACGATTGCATGGCACAATCACGTAGGCCACTTGAACTCGGTACAAATTTGGCAATTAAGGCACTTTGCCACGATCGTTGACCACAATCGCATAGATCTGCACAGGACCCTTTTTGAGCGATTTTCTTGGTAGATTGGGGCTTTTTCACCCCATTTTGGCCCTTGGCCCTCCTGCTCATATTCACCATATATAAGCCTTTTTGTTTTCAATTTTTTATTATGTTTTTGATGGAAAAACTTCTTGTGTTCTTTCATAGCTAGAGGGAGAGGGGGAGAGAGAGAGAGAGAGAGAGATAGGAGGGATTACTCCATTTGGCTTTTCTACTAGTTCTGATGATCTATCTTCATTGTGAGTTGTTTTGTACTCCCTTTGGCATATTAATATAAGTGATCTCTCTCCCGGTGGACATACACTACCTCACAGTAGTGGAACCACGTAAATCTCGTGTCTCATTACTTGCTTTACTAGATTTGCTAGTCTATGGTAGGTTGCCTTGAATTTAGCTTGTGGTCGGAATATTGTGCTTGGATAGCCATTTATTTGTTGTTAGACCCTAGATATTCCATATTTGTTGTTTGTGGTTCACTTGTATTTGGATTATGTTGTCTTGGGACCTATGAGATCGTTCATGGATTTGTTTGTCAAGGTCTGAACCCTTACAATTTGTAGGAAAACACAATCTCAAGCATCCTAATCTCGTGATAGGTTGACATAACTACAAGTAGAAGTTGAAAGAACAATGATGTGGACTACTATGTCCCCGCATAGGATTATCGATCCATATCAACTTAGATTTTTCTTTTGAGGTTTATCCTTATTGTGTCATATTTATCACCTTTGCAAGATGCAACCCATATAGGGATAATATTGTTACCTACTTACCTAAAGATCATCTTCTTTATCTCCTGATATTCTTCATGGTATCAGAACTTTGGTTATAGCACACCAGCCCAAGTGTTCACAATAAAAGATCAAAAGGAGTAATAAACCATTCACTAATTAAAAAACACTAATGTTCAAAACCCTCCATCGCAAAAACCTTAATGTAGTAACTCCACTTCGCGACCACCCATGGCCAAGAAATCCTCTGAATAGTGCCACAATTATCATCGCTTGAGGTCGCAAATCAGTAACAATTTACAAATTGGTAAACTTTAAGAATCCACAATCATGGCAGATAGGGTTCCAGCGACATCGACTCTGCTCATATGTTTGTCAGGTTGCAACCACCACCAATGATCCTCCAGCAAAGTTATGCTCCATTTTGTAACCATGGTTGTCGACCATCCCAACAGATCATTATCTTCCTTGAGATTGGTTCGATACAGACGTTAAACCATTTGAGAATCCACCAGTCACAAACGAAACTCATGACTGATTAGCATCAGGTTTTAATTTCCTCCCTTTATCGTTAATTTTGGTACCCAGTGTCCAGATACCTGTTTGCTGGTTCTTGAAGTTGGAAAGAAAATTGTTTTGAACAAATTTGGTATCCAGTGAGGTTCATCCGGTGCTTTGTGTCACATCACTGGGAACATGAATAGACCATCAATTATGCCACCTACCACATGTCCTAAGGTGAGGGCAGCGAATGGCTCTAGTGTTCCTGTAGAAGAGAGTGGATCAATAGACTCTGATTCTAACCTTAATTTCTTGTGTTTTCTGTATGCAAGCATTTTCTAATAGGCTCTCACCTATAAGCCAAATGACCAAACATGTGAACTGTTTAGCAACCTTTTTAGCTGATTATTGTGTTTTCCATGAGCTCAAGATGATTGGCACATGCCATAACTGTAATTCTGTGTCCCTAAGAAAATGGTACAACATACCAGATTGAGAGAACAACTTTAGATATCCTAAGATGTTCATGACTTATGGGAGTTTTAGATTTCTTCTTGCACCTTTTGACGATTTCTCGTATTACCTGGATTTACTTTATTGGTTTTCTTCAGTATGTAGCATGTCATAAAAAAAATTGCAATACAATCAAAACTTTTTGTAGTGATGATGCAAAGGAATATTTTACTCAAGATCATACAGAATTGATGAATAAATATACATGATTAAAAAACAATCCTATTTGGCATATGATAAAATAAACAATTATGCAATACCATCAAAAATCTTTGTAGCGATGATGTGAAGGAATATTTCACTCACATAGAAAATTTATAAATAAATGTGTAATCATATATGAATCAAGTGGCATAGCAAGAAGGATTAGGCATTTGCTAAATATCACTCGCAATGTGATGATATATTGTAATGTTCCACATCGTTCCTTGAGAGATTGTGCCCTCAAGCTGAAGGAGTTATAGTGAACACATTTCAATTTATATAAAAAAATCAAAGGTTTTAACTAATTTGGTGAAGGATCGCAACCTAAAAATAAAGCTCCAGGAATTCAGAGAACATTTTCTGATAGTGATAACTGGAGTAACGCTGACGTACTTGTTTCATTGAAGTTCAACTATGAGAGGATCGTGACATTGAGAACCTAATAGTGGACATTTTCTCATTGCCGAAACTTGTTTAACAAAGCATCTTTTATTCATCCTTATATAACCAGCTAGTTGAAATAAACACAGACATGCTTATAAGAACATATGTGCTGGAAATGAAAACTAAAGAGAAAGAAAACAACCTATTCCAGGATCCAAGCCCATTTCACCAAGAATGGTAATGCTACAATCTTTGGTTGCTTCATGTAGCTTGCTCATTGTATCATCAATATAGCTAGCAGTGACAAGATGCTTTTTAAGCTGCATTAAGAAACATATGCTCTCTAACAAAATGAAAACTATAAAACCAATTAATTATGCCAACACATATTGTTGCTACTCTTCAGTTACGATCCTTGTTTAAGCAAAAATTGAATATGAACCTTCTACATACCAAAAAGAGCTAGCATATGAACCGCTGGTACACCTTTCTCTTGGTGAATGTTTCAAAATAATAACACTGATGTGTGACAAGAAAGATGAATATAATAATTTGTTGTGCTTCCTTTGATTATACAAGGCCTATATATAGGGTATTTACAGGAGATAGAGGGAAACTAAATCAAGGAAAAGATACGGAAAAGATACGGAAAAGATAACGACAAAGAAGGCAACTATATCTATATTATATTATAAAACATTTGACAAAAACTCTTAAAAACCATTTTTTATGCATAAAGTACTGAATATTGATGCATATTACTTACAATTCAAGATTACAAGTAATTATTATATTATAAAACATTTGACAAAAACTCTTAAAAACCTTTTTATATGTATGAAGTACTGTTTATTGATGCATATTACTTAAAATTCAAGATTACAAGTAAATTTTGCATAAGTACAACTTATTAAAACTTCATATTTGAATTCATGTAACTAACTGCAGATAAACATAATTGAATAATCATTGAGTTCTAACAGAATGTTTAATTATTATCTTTATAAAAAATTATATTATTAAACCAAAAATAAATTATAATAAAAAATTGAATTAAAGAAGTTACACCAAAAAAACGAGAACTAAAGTTAATTCGATACTAATATTGATTTATTTATATTTCATTCAAAAATAAAAACATTACCGCTTTCTCAAAACCACATAAAATCGTATTATATCGATAGAGACAAAGAATAAAAGCTAAACATTAAAGTCGAGATTTATCTCATTGCGTTGCACAAGTACCCTTCTAGCTATATTATAAAGCATTTGACAAGAACTCTTAAAAACCATTCTTTATGCATGAAGTACTGTTTATTGATGCATATTACTTAAAATTCAAGATTACAAGTAAATTGGGTGTAAGTACAACTTATTAAAGCTTCATGTTTAAATTCATGTAACTAACTGCAAAAAACATAATTGATAGATGATAAATATCTCATTTTAAATATAAAAAATCTAAAATATAATTAGGATAATCATTGACTTCTAAAAAAATTATATTATTAAACCAAAAATTAAAAAAATGAACTAAAGAAATACATAAAAAAGAGAAATTTTAAATAGTTAGTTCGGTACTAATACCAATATTTTGTTTTTCAATTTTTTATGATATTTTCATATTTATATTTTATTCAAAAATAAAAACATTATTTTTTTCTCATAACCACATAAAACCGTATTATAACATCGACTGAGACAGAAAAAGAAATAAAACAAAACATTAAAATCGAGATGTATCTCGCTACATTGTGCGAGTACCCTTCTAGTTCCATAATTATAGGGATTCCTCCTAATCAATAATCTATACACTTCAACAATGTGAAACATACGAGTAGTTATCTATGTACCAACACTGATGCTTAAAGGAAACAATGGACCAAGTAATTGACATAAACCATCACCCAACACCATATAATATCTATAACATCCAGAAGTATGGGAAGCCATCAGAAAAACCTAGGCCCCATTCATTTAGCTCACTTCACTTCATTCTATAGATTCAATACTGGATCTAGCAAAGAATTATTCAGTGTTTAAACTTATGAAGTTAATGTAAATAGTAGCTCATCATTTGTGGGTATCATAATTAGTATTAAAAAGGTTGAAAATACTGATATAAAGTATTGCATCATCGTTTGTGGGTATCGCAATACTGATATAATAGATCATGAGATGACATACTTTTGGGACAAGGCTGAGTAACACAAGTACCTAGCAGCCTACTCAAAGAATCTGATAAAAAGGTTGAAAAGTTCTTTTGCTGAGAGAACTTTTGAAGCCATATGTGAGATGATCATGAGGAATTAATTTACTTCTGAATTTCAGTTGTAGAAGATGAGAAATATTGTTTGGTAACCTCATGCGAAATGAAATCATAGATAATGCAAATTAGAAGTTCGCATGGTCCCAATGATGGAATTGTACACAATTGTGAATGGGATAATCTACATGCCTAAAAGCCCAAGGTATCTCAATTCCAAATTAGTTCCATTTTGATATATAAATACCTCACTGATCATTTATTTGTAATCAGCCCTCACGTTCAAGAATCACCAAGTGGCTTACATACCTTAATGATTAAATGTGTCACTCTAGTTGATGTGCAGAGTCATAATTTACAATTCAAGATGGCAAAGCCAGATCAACAGCCTCTCCATTGGACGTTTGGTAAATCACAGATGCAATAGATCATGGGAATATCAATTATGGTATTTGCATGTCTATCGGCTGTAATGAGAATAAAAACCTTGTCGTGTTGAAGAAGAGTACAATACCTCAATGCAGACATTAGCTATGGTACAATGAAAACTTGCAGGCAAAAGACTGATAACAATATCGACCTGCATAAGGGAATAAAAGTACATTGACCATTAAGAATAGAACCACATAACCTTTTTTTAAGTATATAATAATTATATATGGCAGAGCTCACACACGCTTCTAGCCTTTGGCGAGGCTTGAACCCTTGACCTCCAAGAAGGTTGGGATCTACCGGCAACCCAGATATCGGTGGACCAATGACCCTTTGGTCAAACTGCATAGCCTTCACTACTCTTGAAATGGAACAGAGCAAGGAGCACCACTACTTTATGAGAAAGGCTATAAAACATTACAGAACTTCAAACAAGCTTGGTCAGACACACAAGGTTCTACAAGCATTAAATGGTGACACAAGATTAGCTTCCTAGCTCAACAATTTGAAATAAGAGACTTAAAAAGTTTCAAGTACTTTTGGGAATGGAAGTGGCAAGATAAACGAAAGGAATTGTCTAGTAGGTAATTGATCTATCTTGCTCATCTTTATCCTAACATTGCCTATGCAATATGATTAGTAACTTGGTTCACGCATATTCCTTCAGAAGATCATCTCAACAGTGGTGGACCTAGGATTTTTGCCAAGTGGTTGCACCTTTAAATGCCCGAAAAGCCGCTCGACGTGTTTTTAGCCAAGTTCGCCTATGAGGGATTTTTTAAGTTTTTTGGTTGATTTCGATGGGCGTTTTTGGTTTTTTTGGTTGATTTCGAGAGAATTTTTTGGTTTTTTGGTAAAGACTAATATAAAACTCAAAACAAACAAATAAATCATGTAACCATAATTGTATAACATTATAACTAATCAATTTAGGGCATATACTAAAATCTAACTTAGGACAAATGGCAAATATCAAATATCAAATTTAGGGCAAACAAATAAGTCATGTAAACATAATTGTATAACATTTTAATTAATCAATTTAAGGCAAAGACTAAAATCAAATATAGGGCAAACAAATAAATCCTATGAACAATTAAACAAATTAATGAAGTTAAAACAATTTAGGATAAATAAATGAACTCTAAAAGATAATATTCTCGAAAATATGAAACAAAGAGAGGATGGACAATTCCTCATGGGTGGTGATCGAAGAACAAAAGTAGGAACAAAAACTGATTATTTAGGTAAGTTTTACTAAATTTTTTGGCTTAGTCCCTCTAGTCTCAAAATATTGCAGATCACCCTTCTATTTTAAAAAAATCATTACAATAACTATTTAAAAGATAAAAGAAAACCTAAAGATTAGCTTACAATGGGATTCGAACCTACGTCTTCTGGGAAGGCGATTTATGAGAAGGGCAAACAACCATCTCGACCAACTCAACTTCTTGTTAAAATTTTGGTTTATAAATATTTAAGGGCACCCTCATCATTAAGCAGGTGCACCTTCAAGACGTTCCACTTTTTTCCTCTTATGATAATCAAGTGAGTGGGTACACGGGACCCCACTCAGCCATTAGTAGGTCTGCCCCTGCATCTCAAGAGGGCTGTAAACGAACCGAACGTTCAGTGAACTGTTCGTGAACCATTCGGTGGGAAGTTTGTTTATGTTCGTTTATTTAATATATGAACGAACATGAACAAAGGTCCTGTTCGTTCATTTACGTTCGTGAATGTTCATTCACTTATGTTTATTTAAGTTCGATTACTTATGTTCGCATACATTGTTCACGAACCAATTATATAATGTATTAACAATTAAAAATAATTAACTATAACCAATAATAAAGAGTCGGTATTCAAAAAAATATTAATAACACTGATGAATTCCCTCCATTCCACCAACCGTGCTTTATAATAGTTGCTTCAGATTTCATTTTATTACTTCTTCTACCGATGTGGGATGAGCCTCAAAGACACAAGTGCACAACACTTAGGCGCCTAAGTCTTCAGCTTTCTTTCTATTACACGCTTTACATTCCATCCCACATCACCCATGTTTAGAAAAGAAAAGCCTTACTCATCTATATATATATATATATATATATATATATAGCGCCTATTGTCATCCTTTCCATCTCACCAATTGATTTTTCTCCTTAAGCCAATGACTTGATCCCACACAAACGGTTCAATGGTGTAGCAGGTTCACCTTGTGTTCGATTAAGAAAGTTCGTTTATGTTCGTTTAACTTTTAAATGAATAAATATGAATATAAACATCCCTTTTGTAAATAAACGAATTTGTTTATTGTTCGTGTTTGTTTGTTCAGTTAAGTTAAACAAACAAACATAAACAAGCCTTTATTCATGTTTGTCGGTTTGTTTACAGCCTGATCTCAAGTTAGCATAAAAACCGTTCACTTTCTCAAAGGGAGCCTAGGCAAAGGAATAATCATCTCTAAAAATCATAACAGGCAGTTAGAAGTTTTACAAATAACAATTAGGAAGGATTTGCAGAAGATGGAAGATCTACATCCAGCCTATTTTGTTTGGAGAAATTTATTAAAGTAGCTATAGGCTAAAAAGCATTCTAAAGGAGTTACAGGTTGAAATAGACACCATGATGAAGTTGTTCTATGTTAATAAGTCTACCAGTATTGCTCACAATCCAATTCGACATTATAGAACAAACATAGTTCAGTTGATAGTCATTTTATCAAAAGTTAAAAGCTTGAACAAGGAGAAATCAGTATGCCCTTTGTCCCATCATCTGAACAACTAGCAGATGTTCTTACCAAAGGTCTGCTAAACAGATGTTTGAAACTCTCAGAAGCAAGTTGGTCATGATTCACATCTTTAATACAACTTAAGAGGGAGCGATTGAAGTAAACTCTGAGAACATGTGGAACCTTATTAGATAACTCTCCAAAAGAGGTGTCAAGGAGAGAAGGTTGGTTCCAACATATTGAGGATAAATGGTCAAAGTCTAGCCGATGTGGGACTCGAACATGCCCCCTCCAATGGAGGCTAGACGGGCACAGATTGTCCTAGAGTATCGAAGAGGTCTAAAGAGTACAGGCTGCCCTAAAGTGACGGTCCCTAGAGTGGTAGACCTTGGCTCTATACAATGTATGAATATGTGGAACCCCCTCCAAAAGAGCCCTTGAGGAAAGAAGGATGATTCCAACATACATTGAGGATAAATGGTCCAAGTTTAACCGATTTGGAACTCCAACAAAGACCAAATCCCAAAACAGGGGTTTCAATGTTATAGACTTTCTGTGTTTAGAAGATTAGATTGTATACCCTTTTTGTATCTAAGAAATTAGCTATGATCTTGCTTTTATGTCTGATTCTTTATTGTAGTATAAATAGGTATCTCTTGTAATTTATGAAATACGAGAAATTCTTTCACCTCCTACCATTCTTCTGCTCACACCCTTACTAAATGCATTTGCATTTACTAATATTTGAGATATCTTTGTCCATAGCATCAGCAAAATCATTTTCAATATAGAAACGAGCAATAGCAAGGAGTATCAACCTGGGAGATGCACTTATAGAGACTATCATGATCCATGACATCCAGCTGAAGTGCTGTTGCATTTGGAATACCTTCAATAATCTACATTCAATAATCAATGACAAAACGTTAATTTCAAGATACCAAAACAGCTAGATAGTAAACATGTCTTCACACTTAACCACACTGCTTAGCAAAATGGTAAATCTAACAAAAAACATAGAAACATTGCTGATCCAGCAAATCAGCAGTTAGTAGTTATGGAAAAAAGCTCTTAATAATGACCATATATACAAATAAAACTATAATGAACTTTTTGAAGTAAACCAATTGTAATAACGAGGAAACCAGCATAGGATATACAGGAACAAATTAGAACAGCCACCAAAAGGATTACCGCCCGGAAAAGAGTACGAGAAAAAATAGGTCAACAAGGACATGTTTCTGATATAAGTAATACTATCTCCACTAGAATAATCAAAAGGCAAAAAGAAAACTTGGGCAATGATCTTGGAACATCACTGGTATTGTATAAACTCATATCTTGCAAGTACGTCATAATATCAACACGGCTATTCAAAGAGAAATTCTCATAATTATATTATGCAACTTATGCTATGCATCCATAGAGGGTGGGCTATTGTTTGTGCATCGCAGGTAAACATCTGACAGACGAAGAAAAGCTGACTGAAAAAGTCATATATGAAGAAGTGCTTCACAAAAGCCAGAGTTAACAGGAAATGTGGTAACATAGTGAAGTTAAAGTGTACCTCCTCTACATCCTTCAGAAAAAGAGATGCAACTATAACTTGAACATAGTTCTGCTCCTCAAATTCAGCTATCCTACATGATTTTATCCATTCGGGAGATGAATTGCTTCCAATTGATGCCAAAAGTTCAACAGCAGGTTGACAAACCCGTCCTGCGCCTATTACAAGAACCACATTCTTCTTTTTGGAATCATATCCCAACTTGACACAACTATCCTTCACTTTGCCAACTTTCAGTGCAAATGAATTTGTTTTCCCTTTGGGAACTCCATGATCTTCCTTTGGATTTGCTATGGATGTCAAAGTATCAACTATTTTATCAAGGACCACACTATTATCTGCACCAACCTGAGAACATTGACATCATAGACACAGATAAAAAAGGTCACATCACAAGAAAAATACCACATATGTTTTGTCAAATGAAAACCATTGGAATATAGCTTGCTTCTTCAGTTACAAGTTTATCGGTCTTTTTGATTTGGGCGTTACCGTAATTGTGGCATACTCAAAGACCAGAACCAGGGGTAGCATGTGTGTGGGTGTGTTTGGGCTATGCGCAGACATACATATGATCTTCAGCATGCTTGCAAGTAATGAGCATGCAGAACATGTCTAAATGTAATCCATGAACCACAAGTTGGAGGACAGTGATGACCTACTCTCTGGACTTCCTTTGAATATATGGAAGCCGTATCGTACCCTTTATTGGGAGCTCAGCAGCCTTATGATACAGTTAGATGAGCAAGGGAAGAGACAAAAAAGGCAAGTCCCTCCTCAGGATTGGCCAACAAAACTTGTAGCCTTATGAACACGAGAATAATTAAGACATGCTTGCGGAATGTAGGATCCAACTGGAATCTCCAAGGACACATAATAGTATGTGGCGGAGACGTTTGATGGTGGCTAGGGTCTTCTCATGTGAATTTCTAGGTAGTATGGGTTTTCATTGTGAAAATCATTGTTACTCCTACAAATTCCTGTCGAATCAAGGTTAGGGTGTTAGTAGTGGTTTCACAGCAGCGGGACTGGTTTCTATTGCCGTGAGCAACACTAAGAAGCTGCTATTGGATTTTGAATATTGCTCTAATACCATGTAATCGTGACTAGAAGAGAAGTCACCTATGAAAACCTTCTTATGACTTCTTCCTTTAAATGATAAGGTTCAATGAGATTCTCGCAATGTCGCTGGCGACAAGCCACCCAGTGCTTTTCCTATCACTCTGAACCATAGCTACGACCGAGTTATTTCCATTCTCCACGGTGGGGAGATTGTCAAACAGAAATGATAACTCCTCTCAAGGCCCCCACCTCAGATCATGTCAAATTGGCATGAAACTTTGAGTGAGCCCTCTATAACATAAATAAGAGGATCCAAAACATTCCGTGCCCTAGGCCGAGCCGACGACTTCATGCCATGGACTTCTGTAACTCACTTGAACCTTGTCGCATTGCCATTATTGACGGAGGAAACCCTTTTAAAGCATATACAAGGATGGCTTTAAAGATAATGACTCGTGTAACACACTTGACGCGACAGCACCTTACAACAGATTTTTGCAATGTCCACAGCAAGGGCATAATGTGAATCTTTATACTTACATTAGGGCCTATATAACGTTTTAATCTTTTGAGTGAAATAGCGACAACAGATATTACTAGATTTTGTCTATGGATAGTTGCATATGATGCGATAGTTTTCCATACATTGAACAGATAAAAAGAACTAATGATAAGGATGTATACATTTAAAACTTACTACAAGTTCTGAGTAAGACATAGAGTCTGTACATTGACCCACTTGACACTTGACTAGATGAAAGGAGCCACCAGCAGCTTCAATAATATCCAAGGCCTCATTAATCAGAAACTGGTCGAAAAGATGACCACTAAGAGAAACCTGTAAAAGTTATTTCAATAATTAGCGAAGACACCAGTTATGAAGTCAACAGCTATAAGGACAATACATGATCCCCCAGGATGCGTTGCGATAATGCTGAAAGCTAAAATGCTAATGAAGCATGAATCTAAAACAAACCAGCATGGTGTATCTCTTCCAATTAGATCCAAAGTTAGAAACGTCCTTTGACAGTTCCCTGAAAATCAATAGCAGTAAATTTCCATTAGCTGATATAACCTAAAAATAATGCAAACATCATACTGAACAACAACATACTTAGGAAATTACTTGAAAAGGAATTTGCCATACTGTTTCAGAATTTACAAAATAAAATATCAACTACAATATTTATTTTGTTCAAATAAGCCAATCAATTTTCATGTATCATAAGCCCCTTTGGTTGTTTGACATAACCATTCCTCAAGCAATTTGCTATACAGTTCCAAATTTTCGAAGAAAAATGATGACTAAAGGCTAATACGTAGATGCAACAACCATACAGAATAAAGATGCAACATTCTACAAAAACCTCTAAATATAGAAGATATAAATGCTATTCAATGAACAAACGAGGAAATAGACCACGAAAAAGCGAGTTAGGATGCCATAAATGGGAACATATAAGAAGATGAACACAAGTGTAGTAAACAGGCTGGACGTTAGTAATCCAATTTATTTCAGCGAGTTTCGTCCAATTAGCCTAATTGGGGCCTCTACAAAATTATCGCATAAACTTCGGCTAAGAGGCTGAAAGTTGTAATAGGGGAGGTAATTAGTGACACTCAAACGGCTTTTATCAAAGAAAAAAGTATCGCGGACAGCATTCTCGTGGCCGAAGTAGCAGTTAATTTCATGAAAAAGGCTGGTTATAAAGCTTTTCTCTTTAAAGCTGATTTCGAGAAAGCCTTCGATTATGTCAACCGGAAGTTTTTGGAAGACTTGATGCTCCAAATGGAGTTTGGGAATTGTTGGTGCAAATGGATTAATTCTTGTCTCTCATCTGCCTCTGTTTCTATTTTGGTCAACAGCTCTCCTACGGGTGAGTTCAACCTTGAACGAGGTGTTAGACAAGGAGATCCCCTATCTCCTTTTCTTTTTTTTATCGCAATGGAAGGGATGAACATTGCTATGGAAGAAGCAAAAAATAAGGGGCTCTTTGAAGGGGTGAAACTGGGTAGAGATAAAATTGAAGTTTCTCATCTTCAATTTGCAGACGATGCTCTATTCTTTGGAAAGTGGAGTCGGAGAAATTTAAAGAACTTAAAAGTTTTACTTCTTTGCTTTCAATCAGCGTCGGGCCTGAGAGTTAATCTCTCGAAAATCAAGCTGTATGGGATTGGTGTTGAGAAAGAGATTGCAATTATAAGTTGCGACCCAGTCTCTCTTCCCTTCACGTATTTAGGCCTCCCGATAGGAGCTTCGATGGCCCGAAAAGCATTATGGCTAACGGTTATCCAAAAGATTAAATAAAGGTTACATGACTGGACCCAAAAGCTTATTTTGATGGGTGGAAGACTCACGCTAATTAAATCCGTGCTGAATAGTCTACCATTGTATTTCTTCTCCTTGTATCGTTCCCCGATATGCGTTGTGCAAACCATTGAGAGATTAAGAAGGAAATTGTTTTGGGGTGGGGAGAACAGATCGAATTATCCTTCTTAAGTTCGATGGGATAAGGTTATTTGTGATTCTCAATTGGAGGGTTAGGGGTAGGGAGCATTCGTGCTTTTAATTTGGCCTTGCTGGGAAAATGGTTGTGTAGATTCAAATCGGAGGAAGGGGATCTATGGCATAGAACTATATTAACCGTTTATAGTAGAGATGGCGGATTTAGTGGTAGAAATAGTAGGGACCGCTTGGGGGTGCTTGGGAGGGGTGATAAAAAGCAGTAAAAGAAATGGAGGATTTAGGATTACCTATCCTGGACTCGTTCAGCAAAAGTATTGGTAATGGGGCTGATATCGATTTCTGGTTGGACCGATGGTTGGAGGGTGGTAGATTAAAAGATAGATTTCATCGTTTGCTGGCCTTGGAGAGGGTGAAAAAGGCGAAGCTGTGTGATAGAATTGTTCAAATCGGGGGAGAAGGTTGGTCGTGGACATGGGATAGATCCCTTAGGAGTAGAGCCAGTCGAGAGTTTGAAGATCTGTCATGACTGTCGCAACCAATCTCAATTAATCCATGTGGAACTGATAAATGAGTTTGGGATATGGATGCAAACGGGAGCTTCACTGTGAAAAAATTGAGAGAAATGTTGGATATTAGGCTTCTAGATATACACGACGGAGCTGGAACTACCCGTTGGTGTTCTTTAGATCTGAAAAAGGTCAACGTTATGGAGGTCGTGTAGGGGAGGGATTGCAGTAAAGGAAATGCTTTATGAAAGGGGTTTTGACTTAGACTCTAGACCCTGTCGTAAATGCAACAGTGAGGTTGAAACTCTTAATCATTGCTTTCTGGAGAGCTCGATCTGTGTGCAGGTGTGGGATAAAAAATCTTGCTGTTGTGGAATATCCAGTCTAGAAGATCGATTGAGGAACTAATTTCGGGCAATTGTATCGATGGGGTGCATCCTCATTAGCTTCAGTGAGGAAAGCAATCATATGGCCTACTCTTTGCATCTTATGGAGGAACTGGTCTTCGAAAGAGATGCTTGGATCAACATTCAGGAGCTATTTTTCGAAATTCAGTCAACCTCCTTTCTTTGGATCCCGAACAGGGTTAAGAGCAACAAGCCTTCTTGGATGGATTTGTTGTGTGGATCTAATTGGCAGCCTTAATGTCCGTCTAGCTCGTGTTTGGTCCTACGCTTTTGCTTTGTATCGTTTCCTCTTTCCGGTTTCTTTGTTTTTGTAGTGGTTTGGTTGTTCTTTCTTAGCATTCTGCCCCTTGCAGAATGTGGGACTCTCTGGTGTATTGTTTTGGGTTCTTCCCTATTCTTAATATTATTGCCTTTCAAAATAAAACAGAAGATCATTTAAGTGGCACGGCATCAGAGCAGACAAGGCATACTCCCTAAATTGATCCTAAGCATTACATTTGACATGCATCCGTCTAAGCTAAGAATGATATATTCCCGGCTTGAGGGAAAATAAATTCTCTATTTCATATATTACAGGGTTAATATGGAACATTATGAGGTAGCTTTGTAAGTAATGACGTTTACTCCTTTCTAGGAGTTAGATTTATCTTTTACCGAAATATTTTTCCATCCATCCTCTATATCAGCCAATTGCCAAGGAACTGAACCATATATAGCTTCCTCCTTCGATCTATATATCTTTATGTGTTCCTGTTGTAAAGAATAATAAAAAGAAATATATCTTCCATGTTTTCAGTCCTCGTTAGAGGAATAAAACATCTTGTCCATATCTTGAACCTTGTCAGGTGTTAGACTAAGTCAACTAGTCTAGTTTATATTATTAATATTGTCTAGGGTCCAAAGTGTAATTAGTTTTACCTATATAAGGTGTATCAGATTATTATTATTTTTCAATCAATACAATCAATATCAAGTTTTATATGGTATCTGAGCCTAACCCAAACCCTAACCCTAAAAATCGATCCTTCTACCTAACCCTAAAATCGGCGCCCTTCAACCCTAATCTGCCGGCGCTGTCCCTTCAACCCTAATCTGCCGGCGCTGTTCCTTCAACCCTAATCTGCCGGTGCTGTTCCTTCAACCACTCATCTGCCGGCCGGCGCCCTTTAACCCTAACCCTTCAATAGGCACTCTTCAATTCATCAACAATCTGCCGACGCTAAAGACACATCAACTCAGAATTCATGGCAGCTATAATCACCTTTTCACATCAGGAGAAAACCATTCACAATTCACACAAATTCTCTTTCTCTCTCAAACCTACCAACTATGGCTATTGGCGTTCTATGATTGAAGCTTTTCTCACATCTCATAATCTCTTTGGTTATGTTGATGGAACAGTACCGTGCCCTGATCAGAAAATCACCAACGAATCAGCAACCACCGACAATCCAAGCTACATTCCGTGGATCTCAAACGATGCCCACATTCGGATGCTTATCATCTCTACTGTGTCCGAAGATTCTTATCAACACATTCAGGGAAAAACATCACGTGAGGTATGGTTATCTCTTGAAAGAACTTATGCCCCCGTTACAGCCTCTCATGAATTTACTCTCAAAACTCAATTGCTTAGAATCACCATGAAGGGTGATGAAAAA